ACATGAAAAAAGCTCAGCCTCACTGATCATCAGAGAAATACAAATCAAAACTATAATTAAATACCACTTAACACTGGTAAGGATGGCTATCATTAATAAGTCAAAAAACAACGAGTGCTGGCATGGCTGTGGAGAAAAGGGGACACTTCTACACTATTGGTGGTAATGTAAGCTGGTTCAACTTCTATGAAAAGCAGCGTAGCAATTTCTCTAATAACTAACAATTGAGCTTCCAAAGGATCCAACAGTTCCTCTCCTGGAAATACTCATAGTGGAACATAAATCACTTCACCAAAAAAATGCCTGCATACTCATGCTTATTGCAGCATTACTCACAATACCAAAAACATGGAACAAACCAGATGCCTATCGAAAGTGGGGTGGATAAAGAAAATATGGTATATATACATGATGGAATATTATGCAGCCATAAAGAAGAACAAAATCATGGCCTTTACAGCAAACTGGATGCAGCTGGAGACCATCATGCTAAATAATATATCACGGAAACAACGAATTGAGTGTAATTTCTTCTCACTTACAAGTGGGCCCTGAACACTAGTACAATAGCACAAGGCGGGTATCTGCAATGCTGGGCACTGCTAGGGGAGGGAGAAATTGAGTAGGGAGGAGCATGTGGCCACACACTGGGTTTCTGGTCCACTATCAGGGGAGAGAGAGCCAGTAAAAGCCCAAACTTCACGTGCATGCAATCTGCTTATGTCGGAAATCCCCACGTGTACTCTATAACTGTAAAATAAAAAATAAAAGAAAGAAATATATAAGAAGATTAAAAGGCAGGCTGGGCAGCTGAGGCTCACACATGCATTTGGGAGGCTGAAGAAAGAGGACAGCTTGAGACCAAGAGTTTCAAACCAGCCTGGGACACATAGTGATATCCCAACAACAATAAACGACACAAAAATAAACAATAAAAAAATAAAAATAATTAGCCTAGCATGGTGGCACATGCCTGCAGTCATAAATACTCAGGCAGTTGAGGCATAAAGTTCACTTGAGACCAGGAATTCAAGGTTATAGTGAGGTATGTTCACACCACTGTACTCCAGCTTGGGTGACAGAGCAAGATCCTGTCTCTAATAAGAGAAAAAAAAATTCACAGAAGCTTAATGCACAATAGTCAGTTTCTGGAAATAATCCAAATGCTCATCAACAAATTACATAATTTTTTTGGTATCTGTTTATAATGAAATTCTAAACAGCAGTTAAAAAAATCAAACTATTTACATATACAAAACATGAATCTCAAAAACATGTTGAGACAGAGAAGCCACACACAAAAAAGAGTATCAGCTGGGTGCAATGGCCCATGCCTGTAATCCTAGCACTCTGGGAAGCTGAGGCAGGAGTATTGTTTGAGTGCAGGAGTTCCAAACCAGCCTGGGAAACACAGCAAAACCTTATAAAATAAAAAATTTAGCCTGGCATGGTAGTGTGTGCCTGTAGTCCCAATTACTTGGGATGCTGAGGCAGAAGGACCGTCTGAGTCCAGAAGGTCGAGACTGCCATGAGCCATGATGGTCGAAATCATGTCACTGCACTCCAGCCTGGGCAACAAAGTGAGACCTCAACTCCAAAAAAAGAAAAAAAACATATTATATGATATAATTTATATGAAGTTCAAGAAAATGAGAACAGGTAAAAATTAATTAATGGTGAAATAAATGAAGATAGTATTGACTTCAGGGTGGTAGATTAAAAACTGGGAAGGGGCTTGGGAGGACTTTATGCTATGCTGGAAACACTCTCTATATTGATATAGGTGGAAGTTACATGAGTGTACACATATATAAACATCTATTAGGCTTACACTTAAAAGTACATTCACACTTTATTGTATGTCTATCACCATATAAAAACACAAACAAATTTTTTTAAAAACTTGGGTCACAAATGGGAAGAAATTCACATGCAGAGATCTTAGAAACTTACTGAAAAACACATAGGAAATAGTCAAAAAAAGCTTCTGAAGAAGGCTGAAAGAAAACCTTAGATGTTCCCATTGATGTTAAAGAGAAAATATAAACATACATGTTGTAAAAAGCTTTGTGAAATGTGTTGTGAGGAAAAAAAAGAAAAACAGAATACAGTCTGTTCTACTGATGACTAGAGCCGTTTTGTCTACTGTGACTCCAAAAGTATTATAATTTTAAAACTTTGATCCTTTCTTATTTGTTTATACATACATTCTTTCATTTACAAATACATAAGTAAAATATCATTTTATGTTACATCTCTTCTTTTGGAGAAAATAAAGCAGAAAAAGGGGATAGTGAGTACTAGGGATAGATAAGACAAAATTATCAATAGGATGGTCAGGGAAGACCTCATTGAAGTCCTTATTCAAGAAGAGAGGTGAGGGAAAGAGTTATGTAAATATTTAAGGTAGGACAACAGCTAACGCAAAAGCCCTGAGGTGAGGATCTACTTGGCTTGTAGAAAGAACAGAAAGGAGTCTAGGGTAGCTGGAATAGAAAGAACAAGGGAGACAGTAGTAGAAAATGAAGTTGGAAAGGTAATAAGAAACCAGATTATATATGACCTTTGGTCACTGAAATGTTTGGCTATTAATGTGAGATGGGAAGTCACTGGAAGTGGAGATGAGATAGTGAAACGAGATTATCTAAATTATGTTTTAATAGGATTACTTAGCTGTTATTTGTTGAAAACAGATTGAAGACAAGTAAGGGAGAGGAGTGTGGGAGATAAGGAAGGAAAATAGCTGAGCAAATTATTGCAATAATATAGGTGAGCATTAATGGTGGTTTGAAACAGGGTAGGAGCACCACAATGAATAATAATTAGATTCTATTATAACAGGAGAGCTGACTTGATATGTTGATATAACACATGTGGGGTGTGAGAGAAGAAGCTGGTTTAAGGATAACTATAAGTTTTTACTTCTGAGCAACAACAAGCATGACGTATTCTAGAACAAAGGTCTCCAATGCCCCCAACCAATCCACGGCCTATTAGGAACTGGGCCGCACAGCAAGAGGTGAGCAGTGGGGCAAGCGAGCGAGTGAAGCTTCATCTGTATTTAGTCACTCCCCACTGCCCCAAGTGCCAGGTGAGTTCTGTCTTCTGTCAGGTCAGTGGTGACAACAGGTTCTCACAGAAACCCAAATCCCATTGGGAACTGCACATGCAAGCGACCCAGATCATAAAAAACTACACATGCCTTATGAGAATCTAATGCTTGATGATGAGAAGTGGAGCTGAAGTGATGATGCTAGCACTGAGGAGTGGCTGCAAATACAGATTAACATTAGCAGTGAGGTCTGGCTAAACGTCCCTCTCACCCCGGTCCATGGAAAAGTTGTCTTCCACAAAACTAGTCCCTAATGCCAAAAAGATTGGGGACTGCTACTCTAGAATACTCTACCATTCAAAAGTCAAAGAGTTAAGAAGAACTCAGTAAAGGAGACTGGAGAAGGAGTTATGAGGAAAATGAAAACCAGGAGAGTAAAGTGCCCCAAAAGTCAAAAAAAGAAAGAGTTACCAGAAGGAAGAAATGGTCAATTGGGTCAAATGTTGTTGACAAGTTAAAAAATGTAGACTGGGAATTATTCATTGGAGAGAAAGAGAAATAATAGATTTGAGAGCATACGTCAAGGTGTGATTATGGCTAACCACAACAAGAAATGAGGTGAAATGGTGATAGACTTGCAGATAATGGTGGAATTAAAGGAATACTGGAGTTAAAACACCAGAGACAGTGCACTAGAAAAGTACGATGAGATCATGAAAGATTTTCTTGAAACTGAGATTAATAAAGGATTTTAGATGTTGGAATCTTTTTTTTTTTTTTTTTTGAGTTGGAGTCTCACTCTGTCACCCAGACTGGAGTGCAGTGGCCGCTCCCGGCCACCGCAGCCTTGACCTCCTGGGCTCCGGCGATCCTTCCACCTCAGCCTTCCAAGTAGCCGGAATTACAGGCATGCGCTACCACGCCCGGCTGATTTTTTTGATTTATTGTAGAGATGAGGTCTCGCTGCCCAGGCAGGTCTCGAACCCGCGGGCTCAGGCAATCCACTCACCTCAGCCTCCCAAAGGCGCGGGATTACAGGCTGAGCCACCGAGCCCGGCTAGATGTTGGAATCTTAAGGTCTATAGTACTACCATGAGATGGAGTAGAGGAAATATGGTGGAGAACAAGATATCTGAAGGTGAAGAATTGAGAAACTAGGTCAGAATTTAAATGGTTCATCTGTATGCATTTTAAAATCATCAAATATTATGACAGAAGTGATGCTGTAGAGAATGACAGAGTGACAGGAACAGGAATTCTTAAGGATTGAGCAAACATGATATGAAAAATCATTGAAGTATTAATGCTGGGATGAGAATGGTCCCATTTTTTCCTGTAGTTCCATTCACTTCTCCCCAGAGGTATTTTTTCCCACAAATTTATATACACACATAAGTACCCATAAGAAATGTTATTTTGTAGTTGTTTACTGTTAGGTGTGTGATTTTAATGTAAATGGTATTATACTAAGTTCTGCATAAATTTTTACAACTTGAATTTTCATCACTTAAAAAAATTTTATTTTGAAAATAAAACCATCTCTAAAAAATAGCCCATAATACTGTGAGTTCAATTCCAAAAGGAAAAATATTATCGTTAAAATATATTTACCCAGTTGGGCTCAGTGGCTCAGCCTGTAATCCCGCACCTTGGGAGGCTGAGGTGAGTGGATTGCCTGAACCCGTGGGTTCAAGACTCGCCTGGGCAACTTGGAGAGACTTCATCTCTACAATAAATCAAAAAAAATATCTGGGCGTGGTAGTGCACGCCTGTAGTTCCAGCTACTTGGAAGGCTGAGCGGAAGGATCGCCGGAGCCCAGTAGGTCGAGGCTGTGGTAGCCAGTAGCGGCCACTGCACTCCAGTCTGGGTGACAGAGTGAGACTCCAACTCAAAAAAAATAAAATAAAATAAAATAAAATAAAATAAAAAATATATATATATATTTACCTTGAAGTTTTCTACTAAGTTCAAGTTTTTCTTGTTCAAGGCGCTTAATTCTTCTTTCATAAGCTTCAGTTGCTAAGTTGTTATCTAGAGTCCTCTGAACATTAACATCAAGATCCAGTGAGGTGGGACCAGCAGTAACTCTTAAACAGCTCCGATCAGAAAGTACACTAGAGGGAAAAAAAAGCTTGCAGATTCATACTGTAATAAAAAGTTTGAATAAAACAGATATTTTTAAATTGTTAATTTAAAACATGGATTTGAAAATCTAGTTACGGCTAGCTAACTAGAATGATTGTAGAAAACATTGTTTTTGCAAAATCATCATCAACTATTTTTAGAAACTTTTTTTAAAAAATGAAAACTTAAATCTCCCCAAATTATCTTGATTTCTAATAAAATAACCATAAATTGATTATAAAATGAAGTTTGCTGAAGAGTTAAGAGTAGTTTAAAACAATTTGACCATCTAGTCAAAAGCATCAACTACAGTCCTTTTTATCAGAATTTAAAATTCAAAAGACTCTTTCTTTAACTTAATAAAATTTAATTAAAAAATATTGGAACAACTAGACATTCAGCAGTAAACAAAACAAATAAAAATTCTTGCCCATGTAGGGCTTATTTTTCAGTGGCAATAACAAAAATAAACAAAACAATTAGGATATTCATTTCATTAGAAAATGTTAAAAGCTAAATAGAAAACATAAAGCAGGAACAGGAGAGATAAAGTACTGGAGGGGACAGACAAGAATTTACATAAAGTCATCAAGAAAGTTGTAACTGTGAAAGACAAGCAAGAATAGGAGGATCAACCAAGAGAATACCAAAAGGAAGAGCATTCCAGGAAGATAAAACGGAAGTACAAAAGCCCTGAGACAAGCGTATGCCTGGCATGTCCACAGGCCACAAACGAGGCCTGTGAGAGCTGAGTGGAGTGAGCAAGGGAAAAACAAACTCAGAAAGATAAAAGTGAGCCAAATGTGTAGGGCCTGGTAAGAACTTAGGTTTGGAGTTAAGATACAAAGCCATTAGAGTTAGGGAAAGAAGGGAGATTGGTCCTGAACAGGACAGTGTCATGCTTTGATTTATCTTTTAACAGGATCACTGGAACAGGTTCAGAGAAATAAAAGAAACAAAGTTATAAACATATTAAGTAGATGGTTAAGACAGATTTCGGTGTTGCTTTGTTTTCTGAGTCAATCTCTTACTCAGTTGCCCAGGCTGAAGCAGTGGCACAATTATGACTCTCTGCTGCCTCGACCTCTTGGGCTCAGGCAATCCTTCTGCCTCAGCCTCCCAAATAGTTGGGACTACAGGTATGCACCACCATGCCTAGTTACCTTTTTTTTTCAGTAGATGAAGTCTCGCTATGCTGCCCAGGCTGGTCTTGAACTCCTGGGATCAAGCAATTCTCCAAACCTCAGCCTCCCCAAGTGCTGGGATTACAGGTATGAGCCACCGAGCCCAGCAAGACAGATTTTAAGAGAGAAGAGGGGTCTCAGCTGGAGACACACATTTAGGAGTCATCAGCAAATATTTGGGAGAACAACAGAGTATAGATGGAAAAGAGACATCCAAAAACAGAGCTATAGGACAGTCTGATATCCAGAAACCAGGGAGATAGGAAAAATCAAGTATGGGAACTGAAAAGAAATAGCCAGAAAGGTAAGAAGAAAATCAGTCAAGTGTCTTGGACGCTAAGAAAGTGTTTTGATAGTATGGAGCTGTAGCAATATATGAGACTAGGCAAATAAATAAGATTAGTACTGAGAAATGATAATTAGATTTAGCAACATAGAGGTCAACGATCACATCAATAAAGCAGTTCTCATGAAGTGATGGGGGCACAAACTTGACTGGAATGGATTCAAGAAAAGACTATAGTATAAGAACAATGGACAAAATGTAGCTAATAGTTGAAGTAATCTTCCTATTATGCAGAGAAATTGTTGGTATCAGATAAAGGAAGTGGGATCTAGACAGATTTTCTATACTGCTTTAAGATGGGAGAGATAATTGCATGTCTGTAAGCTGATATAAATTATCTGATGATGCAGATGACACAGAAAGTGGCCTAAAAGTGAGCAATGCACTAGACTAGCCAGGAGGGAATAGACGGGACTGGCCTTAGCTAGGAGCGTGTAGAGTTCATCCATGAAAAAAACAAGAATCTTTGGATCCAGGGGTATGAAGGTGGTAAATGTGGTGACAGGAGCTTGTGGAAGTTGTCTGCTACTGAAGATCATCAGCTGGGAGTGGAGATGACAGAGATATCAGAGGCAAGTAGAAAGTATGAAATAGTTGTCTAGGTGAGTAGAAGAGTGAATACACTAGGGTAAGAGGGTATAATAGCCAAAGGATACTTGAGTTTAGTTATCATGAACTGAAAATGAGACCAGTAAGAATGGCCAGATATTTTCTCTAGTCATTTTTAATTGTACAGATGCAGGCAGAGAATTAAATTGTAATAATAAATGTTGACTTAGCAAAGCAAGTATAAGAGAATGAGAGACAGCCAAGGAAACTGAGGTGGCATACAAGGAGTGATGATAATCACTTTCAGTGGAATTTACACTGGGTAATGAGGAAAGAGAGGATATAAGTGGAATAAGGGTCAGTGAAAGGATGGCAGAATTAATGGGTCAAAAATTCTTGTGCTTGACACCTAGAGACTGTTATTCAATAGCATGGGTTTCTACTTCATTGCTAAGGATTAGATTCTGAAGTTTCTGTTTGTCTCATTCTTTCCCCTCCAAAATGAGTTTAGATTCTTCTCTACTCACTTTGTAATGTGTTTTTCTAGCAGTAGGCTGATTCTACTTTTAGAAATTTTTTAACTTATAAAGCTTTCTCATACATTACATTTTTTTTAAAAAACCTCAATTCACTTTAATTTGCTTTAAATTGTCCAAATTATGTTTATTTTTCAAACTTACCAGCTACTAGTATATGTAAAACCAACAAATGGCAGATGGTGGCCAGAAAACGCAGTATGTGTTAGTGGGGGCATCGTTTCCTAAAGAAGAAAAAAATATGTGGTAAGAAATAGATACCTGTGATCTATAGGCTGAACTATAAATATTAACTGCCAAAAGAAACATGTTACTGTTCAATTTAGAAACACTGATAAGTTTGGTACAGTTGTTTAATGTTAGAAAATTTAGACCATGAATACTGCCAGTTTAAAATTTTAATGAAATAAAAATAAAGATTGGAAATCTGAATCATACTGAGAATACAGTCATTATTCCATATTTGTAAACTTATTTATTCCATACTTGCAAATTTGTCTAAAAGTTAAAATGTACTTGTAAAACTAAAATCAATTATCGCTGTGATTTTGTATGACTTATAGACACGTGCAGAGCAGAGAAAAATTTGAGTTGCTCTATGCTTAAATTGCTAGCTGAGGCTAACCAGGAGACACTCTGCCTTCTAACTTAAGCTCTCATACTATAAACAAGTGTCTCCTACATGGTCTATTTAATGTCATTTTTTTTCACATGTTTGTGCCTTGTGTATGTGATTTCACTGTTTAAAAAGACCCCCAAGCATAGTGTTAAAGCAAGAACGCTGTGATGTTCCTTTTCAGAGAAAATGTGTTAGAAAAGCTTCATTCAGGCATGCGTTATAGAGCTACTGGTAGTGACTTCAATATTAATAAATCAACTATGCACACACACACACACACACACACACACACACACACACACACACAAACATATATATATATCCATAATGTGTCTTTAAACAGAAGCACACATAAAACAAGATTATGTATTGATCAGTTGATGGAAATGTGATCAGAGGTTCACAGAAACCTAACCCTGTATTTTCTGGAACGATGGTTCAATATTAGTTAATACAGTGTCCATAGCAAATTTATAGAATGCAACTATAATGACTCATTAGGATCAACCACACTATGTACTAAATTTGAAATGGCGAACACTTTGTTAACAGTAAATATAATTCTATCTATTAAAAAATTGATGAGAGAAGTTGTTTAATTCTCTTGTAAGGTTCAGAGACGAAAGAATAGAAGAAGTGCTTATCTGCCTTGAACACGATACTAAACAGTGAAAAATGATATAAATATTAAAACTTTTAGTTCAGAATTAAAAACATAAGAAATAAAATAATTGAAGAAAAGTTTCAGCTAAGAAGACTAAAAAGGCAAAGAGCATAAAAAACTTATGTTCTTATTTTCCTAAATTTTAAATTAATATAACCTAATGGTTTAGCGCAGAGGTCAACACACTATGCTGGCCTGTTTTAGTTTGGCCAACAAGCTAAGAATGGTTGACTCTGTGGCTACTCCATTTGTCTGCCATTCATCCCAAGCAAGACTATAACCTCAGGCAAGTATGGCTGTGGACTTACTTTGCCTATTCATTTCCTACCAAGGTTGCTATTTTTAACAGCAACACACTAGACTTGGATAGTCAGCCCTGGAAGCCACCCCCTATGATGGCAAAGTTGCTGGATTTATATTTAGCTCCATACTACTAGTACTACTGTACTAACCAAGCCAGTAGTAGCAACTGGAGTGTGGTAATGTGATTTTTAACCAAAGTCCAGGAGTTTTTCATGAATAAATGCTTTTTTGATTTACTTCCCTTCAGTTGATATATCAAGCTATAAAATGGTTGTGGACAACTTTGTCCAGCTTGATGGTTAGTTTTTGGGTTTTTTGTTTTTGTTGTTGTTGTTGTTGTTTGAGTCAGGGTCTCACTCTGTTATCCAGGCTGATTACAACGATCATGGCTCACAGACCTAGGAAATCCTTCCATCTCAGCATCCCAGGTAGATGGGACTACAGGTACGCGCCACCGTGCCCAGCTATTTTTTATTTTTGTAGAGACAAGGTTTTGATTTGTTGCCCAAGCTAGTCTCAAACTCCTGGGTTCAAACAATCCACTCACATCGACCTGTCAAAGTGGTGGGATTACAAACATGAGATGCCATGACTGGCCAATTTTGTCAGGTTTCGCAGTTACTTTTAAGTAGAGGTTTGTTAACCTCTTCACTTTCCAATCACGAAATCCTCTTTTTTAAGCATCTAATTTGTTCTCTTAGGTAATCGAATGGTATACCTTATCTAACAGGTTAATCTTTGAACTCTGATTATGCTCTTAGTCATAAATAACTATGTTCACCTCAGTTAATGATCCTAATTTCTTAATTTACGGTAGAATAAGCACTGGAAGATATAAAAATTGTTTGAGTGATATTTAATAACTGCAATGGTCTAACAAAATACTTGTAAACAAACAAAAAAAATACTTTATAACCACATTTAAAAAGAAAGAGACGGATAGAACTTCTTCACACTGTCATACTTACAGAATTTTTTAAACAATCATCATCCACGTCAAAATTTGATGTATCTGTTGGGCTACTAACTTCTGGAATGTAAGGTGCTTCACAGTTCCGAATATGATCCCAATCAATTCCACTGAAAAATGGGTGTTTCTTAAAGTCTTCTATTCCATTTTGACCAAGTCGATGTTCTCTACTACAAATCAGCCTTCGAATAAGATCCTTGGCATTTTCAGACACATCAGTCACTTGGGCTGGAAACTGAAACCTCTCCTTAAACAAAGAATAACAGAAATGAAATATAAATCAGTATAATTTACTAAGTAGGTTGTTTAATTTATCTGTTTTCTTAAAAATACATTTTCTTTTAGAAATACCTTAAAAATATACATTGCTACAAAGTACTGACACTAAAAGAAAACAGGATATATGAGAAAAGATCATTTTCGTAAAAGAACTTGCAATTCCATATATGACTTAGTCATTCATGCACTATGAAAAGAAAAATAAGCCAGGCTCAGTGGCTCAGTCTGTAATCCCGCACCTTTGGGGGGCTGAGGTAAGTGGATTGCCTGAGCTCGTGGGTTCGAGACCCACCTGGGCAGCGAGACCTCATCTGTACAATAAATCAAAAAAAAATCAGCCGGGCGTGGTAGCGTGCGCCTGTAGTTCCAGCTACTTGGAAGGCTGAGGTGGAAGGATCACGAGAGCCCAGCAGGTCGAGGCTGCGGTGGCCAGGAGCAGCCACTGCACTCCAGTCTGGGTGACAGAGTGAGACTTCGACTCAAAAAAAAAGATCTATTCAAAATAATAAACACTTTTAAAGGAAATAATATGTATCTAACACTATTTAAAGTGCTTTATTTATTTAACTAATTTAATTCTCAAAACAATAAGTTTAGGTGGGTAATATTTTGTTAATTTTATATAAGAAAAAATAATCACACATCTAGTAAATGACAGAACTGGAATTTGAACTGAAGCTGACTCCAGAATCTGTACTTTTAAATACCATGTTATATATGACAATTATTTCTTTCTGAAATGCTGTACACACTAGTTAAAACCTTATAATTATTTCCAGTCTTTCACCTTTTCATAACTATTTCAAGTACTGTCTTTGCAGCCAGATAGAAGAGCATAAATTCTATAAAACTGGTTTTTATATATGTAAAGAAACTAATCATAATTCATTACGAGAAGACATTTTAGAAAAATACTCTCTTCAAATATATTTTAATTTATTACATATTTTATTTACCACTTTAATTTGAAAAAAGTAAAATATACTAACTTTATGATTCATGATTTTTCCATATGTTTCCACCAGAGATTCTGCATAAAATGGTGTTTCTCCATAAAGCATTTCATACATACAGACTCCCAAAGACCACCAGTCACACTCAGGACCATATCTGCCTTTTCCATCTTCCATGGCTTGAAGAATTTCAGGAGAGATATAATCTGGGGTTCCAACAGCCACTGAGGACTGGACCTAAGGAAGTTTACATTTTTATTAATCCACTGTAATATATTAGAAATAAAATAATTTAAAATTAAAAACAGTTACCTAAGATGCACAAGACACTATTATCTTAACAACTACATATTTGTCATTATCTGAATTTAGCTTCCTTGCATATGTGTTAAATTTTATATAATCTCCACATTAATAGTATTCCATATTTTATAACACTACTGAATCTTTATTATAGCTATTATTTAACTGACTACATTTAGGGAAACAATATGACTTAAACCATCATAGCCCTTTAACAACAAACTGAATATTTGGTTTAGATCATTCTTATTATTAATAATTTCCTGTCCAACTTATACATATTAAGAAAAAAGCTGTGAACATTTTACAATTATGGGGGGGAAACAAACTCCTAGTATTTAGGCCAACACTTATGAGAAGCCTGAAGATTACGTTAAAACTCATTAATAGAAACTTAAGAAGATAAATGCCAATGATGTACAGCAATAAATTATTAATTTAAAAAAAAACTTTAAGCCGGCTCGGTGTCTCAGCCTGTAATCCCGCGCTTTGGGAGGCTGAAGTGAGTAGATTGCCTGAGCTCGCAGGTTCGAGACCCGCCTGGGCAACTTGGCGAGACCTCATCTCTACAATAAATCAAAAATTAGCCAGGCGTGGTAGCGCGCGCCTGTAGTTCCAGCTACTTGGAAGGCTGAGGCGGAAGGATCACTGGAGCCCAGCAGGTCACTGCACTCCAGTGTAGGTGACAGAGTGAGACTCCAACTCAAAAAAAAAATAAAAATAAAAATAAATATAAAAGCAGAAGTATAGCCTTCACAAAAGAAAGTCCCAATAGAGAAAAAAAGTTGAGGGTATTATTATAGCAGGTTAGCTGTAATGAGAAAATAGGTAACTAAAAAAATCCTGAGTACATGTGTTGTAAGGTACTCTGAAGTAAAAAAAATCTTGGTCCTTTAGATGTTGTAAAACAACTAATCAAAGCAAAGAACATCTCAAAGTGAAGCATTAATTAATATTCTGCCAGCCTGGGCAACATAGTGAGATCTCAACTCTATGAAAACTTTTAAAAATTAGCTGGTTGTGGTAGGGCATACTTATAGTCTCAGTTACATGGGAGGCTAAGGTGGGAGGATGGCTTGAGCCCAGGAATTGGAGGCTGTGGTGAGCCGTGATTGTGTCACTGCACACCAACCTGGGCAACAGAGACCCCGACTATAAGAAAAAAGTCTGGATTTTCTAAAATAAATTACCAATTCTTCGATGACAAATAGACTTCCACTTTGGCAATACTGAGATTAACTAACTTGAAACCTCTTCCATCACAAATTATTTTTAAAATGCTAGATAAAATATAATGGCTATTTTTATAAACATATAACTTTTAAAAAAGAGAGAAATTCTTAGGGGCCAGGAATCAAGAAACGGTTGAGAACTAGAATGATAAACATTACAAGTAGGGAGGTTAAAGAATTGTTGACTTTAATTTTCTAGGTATTTGAATTTTAATATATGCAAAGGATCAAAAAGAAAGATTTTGTGCTTACATGAGGTGTGGAGTTTGGAGAGAGACATAGCCCTATATACATACCCTTTGCCCTGAAGTGTATATTGCAAAAGAAATGGTGAATTATAAAAATCTGCCAATATGGCAGAGAAAGATGAGAGGACATTTTATCTATCTTGATTTGTGGCTGATATATACAAAATATTCCTCCCATAGCAATTTAAAACTTTAGGTCACATTACCCCAACATTTAGGATTCTAATTCACACTACTTCTATGGTCCAAAAGTCCTCAAATCAAGAAATTAGCATACATAGTGACCTAGATCTACAACTGGCCTTGGTCTACAATCAGATCTGCTCTATGAATTAACAATGTTTAAATTTATTAAAGACCTAAAAAAAACTTTTAAAAAGAACAAGAAAAGAAAGAGAGCTGAAAAAGGATCAAACAAATTCTAGAAATGAAAATAGTCATTGAAAAATTTTTTAAAATGCATAACTACTCTGAAGGATATATGCTCAAGATATAATACTTATATATAAAATCTCATTGAATATGAGCTCACAATACAATAATATAAAACAAATAAGAAAATTGTCTATTACAAATAATGATCAGTAATCCCCAAAAACAGTACAATTAGATCTCTAACAACAATCAGATCTACTCTGTGAAATAAGAATGTTTACAATTATTAAAGATGTAAAAAACACAAGAAAAGAAAAAGAGAGTTGAAAAAGAATCTAACAAAAGTCCTAGAAATGAAAATAGTCATTGAGACTTTTTAAAAAATGCAGTGTATAGGTAATGATTAGATACAGTTGAAGAGCAAATTAAAGCTGAGAAAATTTACAGGCATTCAGCATGAAGGGATTAAAAAGATGAAAAATTTGAAATACAGGACAGGTGATACGGACACTAGCATGCACAGGTTCAACATAATACAAGAGAATAAGAAAACAGTGGAAAGCAATATTCAAACAGATAGTATTTAAATTTTTCAGGAATGATCTACAACTTGAACCCTTGGGTGAAGGAAGAACATTAAGTACTTGAAGATTAATAAAATCAGATTCTCATCTATAGACACTGGAATTGAACTACAGAATATCTAAGTAAAAGAGACTTTTTTTTAAACATTAAAGAATAAAGAGAGATTATCTACCAAGGAATAGACTGATAGCTAAATTATTAATACTAACAATAGCAGTCAGAAGAAAATAAAATTGTACCTTCAAAGTTATGAGACAAAATAACTGTCAGTATCACCTGTTTACCTAAGTTATGACACAGGAATGATACATTTTCACAGAAGACTGAGTAAACTATCACTTGTAGATCCTTTCGGATAAACAGAAGTACTAGAGTGTACTTCAGAAAACAAGAAGTTTAACCCACAGAAGAATGTGATTCTAGAAGTAATCATGAACAAAGATATCAGTAAACTATAATATATATCGAAATGGTTGTTAACTGAATAACATAATGACCAAGAAGGAGAAAGAAAAGGAGGAAATGACTACTTTAGGTTTGAAAGACAAGTTGGTGTCCCATTTATAAGTACAACTAAAACATCAATTTACAATTTTAAAAAAACCCACTTTACTTCACTAAAAAAGGAAAAAAATAATGTCTTCTAAATACTAGAAGACATTAACATGTTACTGAGAGTGTAATCAGTAAAAAAGGGCTCTATGGTTTTTGGATTTTTTATATTTTTAATTATTATTTTTAATGGTGATAAAATACACATAACATGAAATTTACCATCTTAACAATTTTTAAGTGTGCAGTTCCATGGCATAAATACACTCACATTGTTGTTATGCAACAAACCCCCACTATCTCTAAAATTTTTTCATCTTGCAAAATTTCAACTCTGTACCCATTAAACAGTAATCTCCTCATTCCCTTATTTTCTAGTCCTTGGCAAACACCATTGTACTTTGTTTCTTTGAACTTGACTATTCTTGATACTTATATGAGTGGAATCATACAATATTTGTCCTTTTGTGTCTAGCTAATTTAGCTTCACAATGCCCTAAGGTTCTATTCATGCTGTAACATACATCAGAATTTCCTTTCTTTTTAAGGCTGGTTAACACTCGTGCGTGTGTGTGTCAATGGACACTTGGATTGCTTCACCTTTTGGCTCCTGTGAATAATGGTGCTATATGCATGGGTTTACAAATATATGTTCAAGTTCCTGCTTTCACTTCTTTTAGGTATATGCCCAGAGGAGGAATTGCGGGATCACATGGTAATTCTATTTTTAACTTTTTGAAGAGCAAGTCATACTGTTTTCCGTAGTAGCTACACGATTTGACATTTTCACCAACAATGCCGAAGGATTCCAGTTTCTTCACATCCTCAACAATACTTCCCATTTTGTTTTTTTAATTTAATTTAATTTTTTAAATTATTATTTTTTGAGTCAGAGTCTCATTCTGTCGCCCAGACTGGAGTGCAGTGGCATGCTCACGGCCACCGCAGCCTCAACCTGCTGAGCTCAGGGGATCCTTCCACCTCAGCCTTCCAATTAGTTGGAACTACAGGCATGTGCCACCATGCCCAGCTAATTTTTTAATTTATTGTAGAGACAAGGTCCCACATGTTGCTCAGGCTGGTCTTGAACCCCTGAGCTCAAACAATCCTCTCACCTACACCTCCCAAAATGCTGGGATTACAGGCATGAGCCACCATGCCCAGCCTAAATTTTACTTTATTATGGAGATATGGGGTACAAGTAAGGATTAACTATACAAGTAGGCTGCATGCAGGTGAAATTTGGGCCTCCAACTGGCCCTCACTCCCCCTAGTATAGGACCAGGTACCTTTGTGTTGATCCATGTCCTTCTCCTACCTCCTTTCCCGGCAGTGCCCAGCAACTGCCAATCCCTGCTTTATGCTAATATGGTTAATGTTGAGGTCCCACTTATGAATGAGAACATGCAGTATTTTCTTTATTTCTGTGATAGATCATGAAGTATGATGATCTCCAACTCCACCCAATTTGCTGTAAAGTCCGTGATTTTGTTCTTCTTTATGGCAGTGTAATACTCCACACCATGGATATGTACATTTTCTTTCTTTCTTTTTTTTTTTGAAAGCAACATTTATTGAGGATAGAAAAGCTCCCACAGTGAGAGGGGCCCAAAGGGGTTGCCCTGAATATTTTTTTTCAGCAGTTTTCTCTTTGTAACACTGGGAATTACCTGTGTTCTTCCACTGATTTTTCCTCATTCTTGAGTGATCTCTTTCTTGTCTTAGTTCCATTATTCAGTGGCAGTGGGAGAGGCTTTCACTTCTGTTGTTTGCTCCGCCCTCTATTCTTTCCTGGTGAGGGCTCTGAATTTGTTATATTTTGAAACAGGGCTGTGGATGGGAAGCTTTGCCATCTCTTGTCTTGAGAGTCAAATAAGGTAGAGGATGGGAGCACTGATCTCTTCCGAGGCCTTCCTCATCCTTTTCTGGCCACACCCTTTGT